TGGTATTCTGTGCAGGTGACACGGGTTCCTTAATACCAAAGACATTCCAGAAAAATTTCCAGTAGCTGCAAACAGAAGGCGAGCTGTTAGGCTCCCCCCTTCCCCCACAATTATATGGCATTAAATTTAGAGTGTCAGCTGAAAGTCGTGTTTTAGGGAAGATAAGTGATAAATAATGTGCTAGGCTCTGCTAAGTGGTTCAACTCTATCACAGGTGTATGGAAAAACAAATAAGGGATATTGCATGAAATAATAAATTTTTGATTTAAGGTAGTCATGGAAGGAAGTGACGGATGGAACTTGTTTGTGCTTTAGAAGAGGTTTGATTCATACATGTGGCTTAAAGGCAGCCTGAGTTTTAAATAGAAAATCAGAATTGGTTTTCTTATTATCCTGGGAGATGTTCAACACTTGGCATGAGCAGATAAATCATAAAAACATAGCTGAAAGTGTAAGGGAATTGTAGTCACAGAATAGAGCTTGTGGGATTTGGCCTGATTATATCAATGAAATCATTTTCCTGAAAAATAAATGAATAATGCTATTTGGATCTCATTCACAAATATCACAAGTTGAAGGGTTCCTTTGAAAGTTGTTTCTGTTGCATTCTTAGTATCCTGAGTGAGTTGACTTTCAGATTCCTTGAGCTGATTGTGAGCATATTTGGAAAGGAAGCATTAGTCACGGAAGCATTAATAATTATTATTTTCCAGGGGCAGGAATGCCAAAACCTGAAAACAAAGCTTCCTCACAACTTGCACCAGCTGCTGGTGGATGTGGTGCTTGCCAGCTCTGTGGTGGCTGGGGAGGCTACAGGAACAGAGTCTGTCTCCTCTTCAGCCCTGTAGCCTGAGCTTCTCCATACCCACCTCCAGATCAGAGATCCTCAGCTAGCAGAAGCTGTGATGCTTCTGTTTCCTCTCCTGCAAGACTGAAATCACACTGGAGCTGTTGAGCATGGCAGGTATCTGCCAGGGAGTGGCACTGCTCTCATGTTTGCCCAACACCTGCCCTTTCATTAGCTAGATCCGCTGGGAAGATCCCCTCTGATCCCCATGCGGCTTCTGAGGGTCTGAGTGGCCAGCCAGGACTGCTCCAAAAGCAGTTCTCCTCCCAAAACTCCTGCCACTTCACAGGGCAGCAGGGAGAAAAGGAGAAGCAAATAAGGAGCCCTGCTACAGGGTCTGTGGAAGGGATGGGAGATAATGGACAGCAGCCAGGTCAGGGCTGGGAGAGCTGCTGGGGCAGATGTAACAGAGATTGCACAAGGAGCAACATTAATAGGAAACAGAGGGAACAGGACAGGAGTAATTGTGGGGAAGAAGATGGGCTGAAAACAGACATTAGGAACAGTCAAAAACAACTGTTCTCAGGCAGTGAGCCTCAGGAAATGTGATACACATGTTGCAAATGGGAAGGGCAGAGTGCATCCACCTACCCAAACCCCTCTGTGATATTTGTGAAGGTGCCAGACTCTTTTCAGTGGTGCCCAGCTACAGGACAAGGAGTAATGGCCTTAAACTTGAAACACAAGTTTCACCTCAATATGAGAAAGAACTTCTTTACACTGATGGTGGCAGAGCACTGGAACAGATACGTGGGAGGTTGTGGAGTCTCCCTCTCTGGAGACATTCAAAACCCCCCTGGATGAGTTCCTTTGTCACCTGCTCCAGGTGAACCTACCTTGGCAGAGGAGTTGGACTGGATAAACTCCAGGGGTCCCTTCCAGCCTAAACTACTCAGTGATTCTGAGATTCTGTGATTCTGAGATTCAGGAATATCATGACAGTGGGCTCAGTAAAGTGGTTTTCACCATAGGATTATTTTAGCATTTCTACAGACATGAGATCCATAGAAAAGCTGAAATAAAACTCTTCCTGCTGTTTTAGGTTCTTAGAGGGCAAACATTCAAGAAGGTTATGGCCACATGAATGGGGTAAATGTTGGCAGTGATATGATGGGTTCTCTTGTATTAAGGTAAATTTCCAATAATTCTGGAAATTCTACCCATGTTCTAATCCAGAAGTATTTCTTCCCATAGCAGTGATATTCTCCAGGGAAGCTTTTGCTCTTGTCTTGAGATTCCCTATCTCAAGCAAGTCCATAGTCTACCACGACCTACAGAATTCTTCATTGATGTTCCCTGCTTTAGTTTAAAACTTGTCACAGGCTTCATCTGGCTACAAAGAGCAATGATACCCCTTTTTTTTTTTTTTTTTTTAAAAAAAAAAGGTGGATGTGTGCATGCAAGTCCACGTGTTGTTATTCCTGCTGAGGTATCATTGTCCTTGCTCCGGTACCCTGCTGTCACACCATAATCGAGAGCAAAGCAGTACCACACTCAAGCCTGTGCTGCTGTAGAAACCGGCGCAAACTGCGTTCCTCTGTGGTTGACTGGCGATGTGGAACACTGGAAGAGCTCTCAGACACGTTGCTGTTCCCAGACCTCTGCACACGGGGGCAGAGCTGGATCTTCTATCAGAACATAAATTCAATTTACAGCCAGCAAACCCCCTGCTCTAAGCCGCACTCACCTAATATTTCTCCGTGTAGTTCAGCCATCTGATTGCTGCCTGCATATCTCCAGTCTTTTAAGAATAGATGATATCATAGGCAAGAGTGTCTGGAATAATTTAACTGTCTGGAAGCTGCATGCTAATAGCAAAAGGCTGAGGATCCCAGTCCTGCAGTAAATCTTAGCTCTGCCTTGCTGCAATAGCTCTGACAGACAGTCCCCCAAAACGATGTCCACAATTAACTTCCTTTTAAAATATAGTTTTATTTTTCTCCTCATCAAGAAAGAGCATAATAACAAACCATTTATCCTGCATGAAGCCTCAGAGAGAAACTGCATTAACAGAAAGGTCTAGACTGGCCTGAGGTATATTTTGGCCAGTAACAAGTAGAATAATTCACTAAAACAGGAAGATGAATATAAAATAAAGCAGAACGAAATAAGTACATGCAATGTGTTAATCAGGTTGTGAAGTAATTGAATGGCATTTCCTACATTCACAAACAACAGATAATGACATGAAGTGCCGAGAATACTGCTTAGAGAATTGTACCATAAGATACCTCGGCAGGCAGACAATGTTTCCTGCCTTGAATTTCCTGGAGGGAGAGTTAGATTAGTAATGGTGAGAGGATTTTGTGCTGTTGTGGCAGGATTTTATTGAGAAGCAGTAAAAAAAATTATTTCCAACAAGGTGCCCATAAAAGAGGACTTTCTTTCTCTCTGTCCTAAGGAGCAGGATGGGAGGATGAGCCTACTGGGGCAGGAGGCCGGGAGTGCCACTGAGGTCCTGCTCTTTGTTACACCTGAGCAACACTGCTAGCTCTGCATTAGGGAGGAGGATCTGTCCCAGTTCCTTTCTACTCACAGTTTCCCCTCAATCTCCTGATGGATTTTCCTGTTTAGCAGACAGGGCCCCTGGAAGATGCCCTCTGAGGATCACGGGGATCTTCAGCGCAATCAGGAGCTCTTCTTGTCTCCAAGGCATCGTGGTTCCTGAGGGCCATCCTCATCCTCTCTGCTGCTCCCCAGGAAAGAAAATAAGTGCTGGAGCTGGTGTTCTCTTACCCCGATTCCCACACTCTGTGGAGAGGGAGAAGAAGGAGCATGAACCCCGCGAGCCCCACACCCCTGGCACTGCCTCCCAGAGCCTCAATTTACCTTGGTCCTCAGAAATCACATCTGACATTGAAATGCCTTCCTGCACACAGACCCCCCTCTCACAGAAGGGATATTCCAGCCTCAGGAAGGGACTTGGCACTAAATGGTTGTAGAGAGTCATGTCTTTTGGAAATAAATTGTCTCTTTTAGAGAGTGCTCTCTCCGGTCTCTGGGAAGTGACACATTGTCACTTAAGATCATTAAGTATTTGACTATGAGACTTGCTGCCTGTATAGCACGAGGCACTGCCAGCGCCTCACTTTTAATGAATAATAAATTAACACTATGACTCTGAGACCTTCCTTTCATCAGCCGAGATTTCCAGAGGCCGAAGAATCTCAAAGGATCCTCTACAAGTGGCAGTTGACGTCACCACGTACAAGCAGCAGCTCAATGATGGGTGAGGTGCTGGAATGGCAGTGATTGTTAGCAGTACTCTGAGCATCAGGTCTGTTAGGACTGGCTGCCCACTGGTTTTCTGCAATACCCCACAGCAATGAACATTACAAACACGAACATGGGCAGCAAGGTGTCCTGCTTGCCCAGAGAAAACATCCTGTGCCATTGCTTTGGGCAGCAAAGCAGGTTGAAAAAGGTGGGTTTCCAGTCCTGCCTGCGAGGGGAAGAGAGGCAGTTTGGAATCTCACCTTCTTTGCCTCTTCTCTTGTGGGCATAAGAAATTGGGGATAACCCTGGAAAACTGAAACAAGGATGAGCAGCTCATGGTGCCAGCAAGACCCTCTTTGCCACCATGGCTTTTGCAAAACAACCCCAAAACACCCCATCTGCAACAATCTTGGGACTGCCTTTAATTATGTGAACACTGAGGTTTACCTGGGGCCCCTTCATGCTGCCAGTCTGTGAAACAGTAATGCTGGGTGAGACTGCAGGTATTTGACAGAAGCAGCTGTGGAGGGAGGCCATTCCTCTCACCCAAGCAGAGAGTCTGTCTGTGATACCCTCAGTGGAGTAAATCAACAGGAGCAGCAGGATGCATCTCCAGCCCTGGTTTTCTTTCGGAAAGCTGGGTGAAGGCTGATGCCCACAAGATCTACCCATTGCCTTTGCAGTTGGGGTTGATTTTTTTGTAGATCAGAACATTGTACTCCCTCTCCTGGAATAATTTCCCCATTAATTCCCACATCCCAGGACTGTTGCAGCGTTATAATCATGCAACATCTTAGGTAAAACCAGAATGAGATTAAGGCAAGACATAAATGCTGATGGCTTTTTTTTTTTTTATTAAGCAGAGGTTTCAAGGTTTATCAGAAGCTTTCAAGGGTCAGGTCAAGACTTTAGGAAATTATCTGCCATGGGGAACATTGCCAGGGAGGGATCCTCTTTCTCAGATGAAGGCTGTTGAGAACTCAACAGGCACTCATAGACCTCAGTTCAAGAGTCCGACGGCTTCTCCTGCACAGAAGGAAATCAGTAGCTCAGAGATGGAACATCTGAGCTTTTACTGTTGGTCTGTCTCTCCTCTACACCACAGGGGAACTTCTGAACTATATTCCATCCATTTTCTTTTATTATTAACATACAAAGACAAGATAAATTCTTAATTTAAAAGAACAAATAGTCTGTAGGAAACCGACTTTTTTTGCTGGAAGAAGGCTCTTCAGCAAGTCACTTAAGAGGGAAATGGAGAACTCTATGCTATCTCTTTATATCTGTAAGAAAACAGTTCCTGGCAGACTCTCCCAGTAAAAAACAAACAAACAAACAAAAGCAAAAACAAAAACAAACCTTGCTGATGAAATAACAGGTAAACAAAATAAAAGAACTTTACTTCTCCAACCAGTCTCCAAGTCTGATTTGCTAGTTCGAGCTAAGTTAGTTTAGTTAGTGAAGAGGTTGATTTCATACGTACGCGTATGCATTGCAGAATAAGCATTTGTTGCCGTATGTGACACCGTTAGACCCGCAGTGTGGCATGTACTCCATGGTGCAGAAGTTTCTGGATGCCAGCTGGTTATTGCAGTACTGGGCTGCAAACTGTATTCATAATAAAAAAAAAAGCTCTCAACCAAAGATATGCAAGAAAGGTGACGTTAGGAGACCCCACACACGCCCTGAGCTCGCCACTTATTGTCCAGAAGCAGATGCTGAGAAAAAGCCCAGGGACAGGGCAGGATACAGCAATATGTTGCCTCCCACCAGGTAGAGCCTGAGTAACCACTGTACATGATGCTGCAGTAACTTTGACAATAAGTGGGACATGAACTGGATATCGCCCTACTTGTTAAAACTGTCATCAGATGAAAATGGCAATTTCACCCATCAATATCTATGGCAGATACTGTTCAGACAGCTGGATGTCTCAGGATTTTCAAAGGCTCAGTCACAATGTGATTAGTAAGGACTCATACAAAAACTCCTTTAAGGAAATAAAGGATCAAAAGTAGAAAAATCTGTCCCTTACCTGCACTGCACCAGTAGCTGGGAAAAAAAGAAGAAAAAAGGAAATATGTTACAAATGTAATTCATGAATTCTGTTAAAATCTGTAAATTAATGCCCTGAATACACAACTTCCAATTCACTGTGTGTTAGCAAATTGCTTCTTAGACAAAAGGAATTTCAGGCAAAATTTTGTGCCCTACTCTATGTTGATTCTGTAGTATTGTTTTGGTTTTTTTAATGAGGGCTACAGTCAAGATGGAAAAAGGTATGGAAAATGAAAGAAGAGAAAGTTTTCATGGTTCAAAAGATGGAGCAGGACATGTACTCAAAGCAAAGCAAGTTATTGAGGCAAGCAGGGTTGTAAAGCTGACAAGTACACAGAGACAGCATCTTATATGCATTGCCATTGTTATTCTTAAACAAGAGGAATATTTAGTGAGATGTAAATTTATAAAGCTTCTACAGCAGTTCAGGCTCTCAGATTGCATCTCGGTTCAGGATGACTACAGGAAATATTCATTTTCATTCAGTAAAATCATTTGTGTTTCTGTGACATTTCAGAGGTTAAATACTGGATGTCTGACTCTCTGGGTTGTACCACGTACATGTCACTTCTTTCATTATGCATAAACTAGCGCTGAGAGTAGAGCTGTTCCCACAGTTGTTCTTACCCACTCAGTTCTGTTGCTAAAATATTACCCCATAAGTGATAGTCTTTGATGTCAAGTCTTTTCAACACTATCTTTCTAGGAGTAAATAAGTCCTTGCAGAATGAAGCTCTTTCCAGTCTGGGGATGTTTTTTTGTGGTTCTAAAGACAGCCAGCGCTTACTCAAAGGCAGAGCAGGAGGCAGTGGAGCAACTCACCTGAGATGCAGCAAAGGGCCAGAGCGATCACCAGTAACACACTTGTCACCTTCATGGTGGCTGGAGCGTCTGTGAACAGCAGTGCTTGGCTTTTGCTCAGTAAACACAGCCCTGATTCTGCCCTCAGCTGGTAACTGCGCTTATATTCCCGCCCGCACGGTTGGGTGTGTGTGTGCTTGCGCGTGCTTGTGCATGTTCATATCTGCCTTATCCACCCTTATTCTGGAATAACATTCCCAGTCTTTTGTTGCAGTGGCAATCCCGATAGAGGGAAGCCGTGCTGTAAGCCAAGAAGGATGTTTCTTCATCAACGGGAGTCACAAGAAGTTTGGATGTGTTAGATACACCCTCTGTGTCGTTATTGTAAGTGAAATATGTGACAGTTTCCTTCTGAAGGATCGTAGAAAGTTCCTGCAGGCAAAAGAGCGACTGTACAAACCTGAGCAGCAACTGCTGTCAGATTTTCTGTGTGCACGTATCAGTGCCTATTTATGTACGGTGTTTTTTCAAGAGAAAAACATTGAATGAAATGCTTCTGTAGCAGAAAGTGTCTCCTTTTATTTTTGTGCTTCACCACAGTAAAGCGTCATTAAGTTATAGTGAAACCAGGAAAACAATGAACTGGGAAGGCAAGTAAGAGTGTGTCACAGACACTGAAAGGAGTACTTGGAAAGGACAAGGAATGGAGCAACTTTTATGGGATTATGCAAATTTACAATTGTTATTTCCCTTAAAATCCATTAGCATTGCAGTAATAAGCTTTTAGTATGATGATGACAGAATGATGTGAGGCCCTAGCATGGATCCCAGAAAAGCTGAACCCAATCTGGAAATCGCTGCTTCATCCATCTGCCCATCTCAGCATAAATCCTTTGTTGTACCACCAAAGCACCGCTTTTTGGGACAACCTCATTCCATCAAGGAGAGCAAGCAGACTCCCAGAAGAAATGCATGTGGGAGATATTATATTTTAGAAGGGATATGTCCAATTTATTTATGTTACTCTTGTGTGGATCAAAAAACCACCAATTCAATACTCAAACAGAGGACAAAAGCAAAATAAATTTCATGGACAATATGCCAATGACAGGTCACACTCTCAAAAAAACAGAAGGATACTTTGTCCTTGGATTGTGAAACACTGCCGAAATACTTCTTGGGCTGGCAAAGAGCCTTGTGTTATTAAAGACTAAGAGAGAAGACAAGTAGGCAGGAGTAGGCACCATCCCTAGGAAGGCATTTATCTTAAAACACTTGAAGGTTGCTAAAGGATGATTTCAAGATGATAAAAACCTAGTAATAAGTCATTTGGAGGACCTAGACAAATAGACTGGGACCATGCACGTGTCTGAAAAATATGGGCTTTGCCCACAGACTATCCTTGTAGAGTGCTACACTTCAGGTGAGGATGGTGCTGAGGAGTCCAGGGAACAGCTCTGGGCACAGACACCACAGTCTGACCAGGTTTTGCTGATGCTGCTTGCACAGGGAAAATGCACCAGGAATACCTGTGTCACCGCTCCAGCCCTTTACAATGTCAAACACCTAAAGGGTCTGAACACTAATGCAGGCCAACTATCACTTATGTGCAAAGACACACAGCTCTGGGGTTTCTGCATCTGTATTTAATTTTCTGCCTTTTATGAGAGGGAGGGGAGCGAGATGTTGCTCTTGTTATATCCCAGAGCTATGAGCACATAACCTATTCTGCCTGGCATCATCATTCAACAAATCAGAAGCAAATGTTTCATGAGACAACACATGAAACAAGACAAAGAAATGTTGCTGATTTAGTTTATTGAGAAAGAAAATCAGGAGTGAGCTGAGTTCCCCAGAGGGTGAGATGAACTGAGGTGAGATCTTTAGCTGGGATTTGCCGGTGGGGATCCTGTGATGAATTCTCTCAGCACTGATACTCAGCATTTTCCAAAATGGCTTAAAGTGATAGTCCCATTGCTATCCCTGAAAGCGAGGAGAAATAAAAATGAACCAGACAGCTTAGCTCCTAGAGATAGTGCCAGATGGGATCCTGCCCCAGAGCCAAGGAACTCACACAGTCAGAATTCCATTAGCTATTTGATTATTAAGAGATGAGCAAAACAATTTAACCCATTCTTAAGACTGAAAATATCTGGGGGGAAACTATAGTGAAATTTCAAAAGTAATTTCTTTTGCAACATGCAAGAAAAATTCCATTAAAGTTAAATAGCCTTCAAACCATTCATGCTAACAAAGCAGACACAGCTCTTTGTATGCTCTAATGAAAAAAAAAAAAAAAGAATGGTTGGCACAGTGGCTGGCATTCTCTCCTGCCCCAAATCCCTAATCAACACTGTCCAGCAAACAAGAAAGCGGCAACTGTGCAAACTTGCATCCATAGGAGGCAAATGATAACACAAATGTGATTCATGTTTGTACATACACGACTGCGTTGCAGAAGTTACACTTATTGTTGTATGTTGTGTTGTCCGAGCCACAGAGAGGCATGTAGTCAAGTGAGCAGACAGGTTTAGGGTAGTCACTGCAGTCAACCTGCAAAATAAAAATAAAAGTAAAAATAAGAGTCTGATGTGAAGGAGTCAATAGCAGAAGGGCTTGAACCCTGAGCTACAGCTGCAGTGCTGATGATAACAATCTAACTAAAAGTAATTAACTTCCTTGCACATCTGATATAAACTGTGGTGTCAGTTTCTCCTATGCCAGGAGAATTTAATAATATAAAAATAGATCACAATATCCTGTTTGAAGAGATGTATATCATAACCTGATCACAGCATTTCTAAGCAGCAGAAGTTCACTCGGCGAAGGCGCCATGCCTGTAATCACATTGCACTGTGTTCCCAAGCTGTCCAGGAAATTAAATGGAAAAACATTGGTGAAACTTCTGGAGAAGTGTAGGTGCTGATTCCTCTATAAAGGTCCAGTATCCCTCCTGTAGTCTTAAAACAGGAAGTTTTAAGACTCCTCAGTTCTGCTCTAATGGATTATTTCTGCTACTATTCTTTCACTGATCCCTTCCTGAGCAGTCACCTGCTCTCTATTCTGGTGTTCACATGAATAATGGGTATTATATGTGGAGAAAAGAAAATCTTCCCTATGCTGAAGCACAGCAGCAGTTACACTCCTGCAGGACCCTGCTGGTCTGGGGGTTGCTGCAGACACTGGCAGTGCTTCCTCTGACAGCAGCAGGACCAAAACCCAGTCCCTCATCACACAGTTCACTTACTGCGACAATTTCCTTCTTACATTCACCGTCATTCTTCTTGCCAACACTGGTTCCAGCCTCTCTGGAAAGGGAAGAGAACTGCGTTAGGGAGCTCTACAAGCAACCTGTTCTGCTGAACCCCATGTCCCAGCAATGCTGGTCAGTCTGAGGTATAATGTTTGGGATATAGGAGACATCCCGCTCTAGACACCAGCTCAGGTGGTGTCACTGCTTTCCAGAATGTTGTTTTATGGCATAATGTGAAGGACAAGAGAGTCCAGAGCGTTACAGTGGATGAGGAGAGAGGTTGTGTGGAATGTAGATTCCCCTTAGGTCAGTTGTTGTCCTCTGCAAGGCAGCGTCTGTCACACAGATCCTTATAACTTACTTCAGAGAAGCATTCTGTCCTGCGTTTGATCCCCCCTCAGCCCTCTACTTCTCTTTCTAGATTAAAGGCACAGTTTTCCTTCTAATCACAAAGGAAAACAAGGTCTTGTTATGAGGGAAAGAGGAGAGCCAAAGTCCGAGCACCTTACTTCTACACTTGGTAGAAGTGCTGATACTCAGAAGAGCAGGTGCCAGGAGCACTAAGCCTGAGCACACACAGTACTCACAGGTTACGGGCACACAGCAGGCACTCATTGTCGTAGGTGACCCAGTCGGTACCACAGATGGGGTTGAGGTCTTTGTTGCAGAGCAGCGCCACTTTGCCTTCCTCACTTGTTGTGTTGGGGTACCTACTGCAGTCCACCTGTCGAGGGAACACACAACAGCACACTGCTGAAGACTTGCTTAAAGGAAGCACGTAGATCTGGTGAGTGTTTCTGTCTGGCCACATAGGATACCACCACAACAGGAAAAATGCTTTTTTTGTGTGTCACTATGAAAGTCCACTTGCAGATGGCCATTGCAAGATTCTGATATCTCATATGTGCTCTTGTTTAGAGTTTGAGTTACATCTTTGGGAACTCCATAAGCAGCTTTGGGCACTCAGAAGCAGGACATGCCCTTTGTTTTGCCCTTGGTTTCACTTACAGGGACAACTTCCTTGCATTCTCCATCGTGGTCTTTGCTGACATTGGTTCCGTATTCTCTGGAGAAGGAAAGACAAATGTTAGAAGTTCAGCAAAGACATCACTACATCCTAGGTGCTGGAAATATGTAACTAATGCAAGGGAAAACTGACTCTTTCTCAGTTAGGTTCATATATGTATTTTTGAGAAGGTAGTGCCATTCTCCCTAAGCAACTGAGTGGCTGGCAGGGATGTAAAGCCCTGGGAGCTTTATGACCATTTTGGACAACTCAGAGCAGAGCATCTCTCCATCCTTCAGCTGTGATGAGATGTGCTCTCAGAGCTGTCATCTGGCTGATCCTCGAGCTGGAGAAGAAAAACCTGAATAAATTACACAAGCAAAAGAGAGATACAGAGACTAAAGCAAAGTCTAAGCACCAGAGCACCACAAAGTGATACCCAAGCTCATTTTGAAGGAACTGACACAACTGACAAGATAGGTCACTGACTGTTGAAAAGTGGTGCTGCCAGGAGCCCTAAGCATCACTGCCTGAGATCTCCCATGCAGTACATACATGTTGTAGGCACAGAGCAAGCACTCGTTGCCGTAGGTGACTCCATCAGAACCGCAGATGGGGCTGACGGCCTCGCTGCACACCAACACCTCTTTGCCTTCCTCATTTGTAGTGTTGGGATACGTGCTGCAGTCCACCTGCCGAGGGAATGTACAGCAACAGGGTGGAGAAGTCATTTGACATTCACAACCCTCATTTTGTATGAGACAGTACAACCAGTTTTCACTACCACAGCAAAAACTTGTGCTGGTGGGTCAGTCTGGGAACAGGTGAATCCTTCCTGCAGGGACCTTCCCACACAGCAGA